CCACCATGTAATCTTTACTCTCTGTCGTAACAGCCTTTCTCATTGACATTATGATTATACCAGCTGCCCCCGTGATCCAGAATATCTAGTTGATGGGAATGCTAAAATGCAATTACAAAAACTGTATGTTGTATCCTCATTATAAGATACAGTGTGATTTCCACTGACCTAATACATAAACTAGAAAAGCATGGGAGCGTGCATTGCTAGCAGACTGGCGGCTGATGGCATCACTCGCTGTAGGTTTTTAAAAAGCTCCTGGTTTTAAACAGCCACAAGAAGCAGAATGAGCCACATGGCTGACGTGGTCCTCCTAACTCTTTTCTGCCCTGTCCAAAGCCCACCAGCAAACACTGGAGAATCGTCAAGTGTAATTGAATTTGCCTCCTCCTAGGAGAGTTACATATTTATCTGTCAGCATCCTATGCTGAACACTGCCCTATGCTAAACATGCGTCCATTCAAATGCGAGGACTGGCAGGAGAATGAAATGTTAAACGTTATTCCAAAGGCATTTTAAAGCAACCAATGTGTTAAGCACCTGCCAGAAATGGCCGAATTGTTCTCTGTGCTCTCTCTCTCTCTTTCACTCCCCCAATTCAAATTGTCAGACTAAATGTATAATAATAAAGAAACCTGAAGCGACTGGGGAAGGGGGGACCCTTGGTGTGAATCGCAGTAGACATAACTGTAAGGCTGTCTGCCTGTCAGTTTCCAAAGTCATTTATTCAACACATTGTATAATGAAAATCCCCTTATAAAGCTTTTCTTCTTCTTTGAAGTCAGGAGCAAAACAAGAACAATGAAGATCAGTTGATAGGGATTTCAGCATTTTCTTTCAAAATCCATCCACTTCATATTGCTCTCCCTCCCTCTCCACCCGCATGTACATTACGCATATGTTTGGGAACCTAATTTTGGCAATCTACTGTCTAATCTTGTAAAAAGATTTGCCCACAAGTGGGTTATATTGAATGAGATTATAAACACTGCTGTAAAGTAAATTGCAGGTCAGTCTAGAAGTGCATTGGTTCAGTCAGATACCTTTGTAAGCCTTGCTTGTTGTGCGTATGGGGGGTGGGTGTACGCCGCGTTCCCCCACAAATCTAGGCAATGACTGTGTTTTCGAAAGAATTCGGTTGTTAAAATCCTCGGCGCTGGGATATTCATTTCTACTTATCTTTGCCCTCTTCTCCATTTCCAAACTGTTTTTGGTGGGAAAGACCATTGAAATAGCACAATGTGGATGTACAGGTTGTGTTTATTTTACTCTGCTGTCATCGCATGCAGTCCTGGTTTGGATCAGGACCAGCTTATCCAGGGAAAGGGGTGTTAAACCTCTTCCCCCTCTGTTTCCTCTTTGAATTTCCATTCATTTCTTTCTCTTTTTAATGTATGTTTATTTAAAAAAATGAATTACATATTAAAACAAGGCATTCCATTCAGAAAAGGGGAAAAGGTCTCACTTGACTCCAGAAAGGGGTAAGGGTTTAATCCTTCCCTCCCAGAGTGTGTTGGTCCCATTCCAAATTGGGCTCTTGTGTATCCTGTTGCTGATTCCTCCATAACTGTTATGTGCAGTTTGAATTCAGGAGAAATTAGCCCACTGGGAGGGAGAGTTGCATGCCTGCCTCTTGGCCGACCATCCTCCCTCAGGGGACCGGCCTGGTCCGACGCATTCCCAGGATCGTGGGGCCATACAGTGGCAGCAGCTGGGCTTCAGGGTGCTGGCAGGAATGGCTTCTCTCAGACACAATTGGGATAGTGTGTCCAACTCCCGTCAGCTGTGTCAATATGTATGCATCGGACTCCAGGCAATTCATTCTGTCTAAGCTGGATCTGCTCGTTTGTACACACGGTGACTGTCGCTTTCTTTGGGCTGCACAAGTCTTCCTTTCAGCAAATGTGTAAAGTGCAAACTTCAGGCATGCGGGTTGAATCGGTCACTCGGTGCGTGTGCATTCAGGCTGCTGCATATGGTACGAGCTTTTCAAGGATGAGTGCCAGCTTGGAACAACTGTGGCAGGAAAGCCCAAGAAAACTTCCCAGGGAGCCAAGGAGCTATTGCGGGTGAATGCCCATGATGGCGAACCAGATGCAGGGGAGGGTACGGCCTGCGACTGGAGGGAGCAAGGGGGTGGCAAGAAGGACAACCTCCGTTGCTCATTCTGACGCAGGCAGGTATTTGCGTAGTGGCCCGGAGGGTGCTGGAGAACCTCTCTGCTTTTTACCACTTGGAGAGCTCTTGGGGCTTCATGCAGTCAAGGCTCAGATTAGATATTATTTGTTACTGTTCATTAACAATATTTGTACCCCATCCTTTATGAGGCATCCCAGGACGGCTCACAACGAAGTACAATACTGAGCATGACAATGTTAAGACCTAATTAAAACAATTAAATATTAGAATAATGGGCAAATAAAAAGGTTTTTGCCTGGCACCAAAAAGAATATAACTTCGGCGCCAGGCAAACTTATATATTACAGAACCAATATTAAAGAGTGCTCAGTGCCAAACTTAGCAATCCCTCATTTCTGGCCTGTTTCTTTCTCAGAGCACTGTTTTTTTTAAATTGTGGACTGACAACATCACATTGCAAGTTTCCCCACGTCAGTTTGCCCGGGTTCACACACCACTACAAACCGCACTCAAGATTGTGTATGGGTTGAATGCGGATTGTCACTGAACTGTGGCTTGTTGCCGAAATATGAATGAACCCAGTTGAACAAGCCATGGCTTGTTAAACACAAACTACCCATAGTTCATAACCTAACAAGCAACCATGAGTTGTCTTGGTGGATTGTGGTTACCAGACCGTGGTTTGTGAGCACAGCTGGGTTGAATCCATTGTTCAGCAACCTACCCTGAACCCTTTCTCATCCTTGACTGTAGATTGCCATGATCTACAGTCAAGATCGCAGCTTGTGGGGGAAGGGAGGCTCAGAACCTAATGACTCCTATCACTCGTTTTTAAGGATCAGAAGCCACAGGATTTATACAGACACCCAGACTTTTTAGAAAGACCCCCCCATACCTGCACTCTTCCTAACTGAAACAGAATTAGCACCTGCCGTTGCACATTTGCACCAGAAACTAGTTTAAACATAAACAGCAATGCTTCAAGAGAGCCAGTGTGGTGCAGTGCTTAGGGTGCTGGATTGGACTGTGCAGGCGGAGGTTCACGTTGCTTGCTCAGCACCAAAGCGGGATGACAGAGTCACTCCTTGACGCTTGTCCTTAGTCCTAACAGGGTTATTATGGGGATGAAAGAGGAAGGGTGATATTTGCCACCCTGAGCTCCTTGGGTTAGATTGAAACAGCATAAGAGCATTAAGACAGGCAAACCTCTTACTGAAATGTTTGGGGGAAGTACTCATCTGTGCTACCCTTTAAAGTAAATTGTTATAAAATAAAGCTACATAACAACCTATCAAAGTGACATTTACAGTTCCAGGCACTTTCAGTTGAAATGATATGGTTCCGTGAGGCTCCTTCCATTGATACCTCTACCTCCTGAATCCAAATATTCAACTAGCTTCTCATCCCAAACATAGGAACGGAATTATTCAGCTTTATATTTATTGAAAACTTGCCCATTAAAAACTCCCAATCCATATATAAATAGCACCTTTTCCCTCCAACACTCTGGTTACCAGAATTTTCGGGGTGATCCATAAGCTTCTTGAGCAGAGGGAAATTGTATTATAGATCTCAGCTTTCATTTCCTGTACTGCCAGACTAAAATAGTCTATAATTTGGGGCTGTTCTTAATGGAATTAGTTTTAATTTTGCTTGTGTTGACAGTATCCAATAATTAAGGTCCCAAACCTCACTTCAGACGTAAATTCTCTTTATAGATAGGATTTGTTTCCAAATAAGATTGCTATGATCCTGTGGATGCTTAGTCTGGAGTAGGTAGCATTGAAGACTGTTCCTAGGAAGCATACATGGAATTAACCTTCAAGGCTATAACTCTAAGCATATTTCCTTGGAAGTGTACTACATTGAAATAACCCTTGGATCCTCAGTTTCTATTGAAATCTTCAAATTAAAATCAGAATGGAAGAGACTCAAGGCCTAGAGGTTTATTTATTTATTTATTTATTATTTATTTATTTAAAACATTTCTATGCTGCCCCCATCGCAACAAAGCCTCGGGGCGGCTCACAAAGAATACATAAATACATAAATAATAACAATACAACTAATTTTAAAAAATTGTTTAAAAACCCCCAGTGCATTCTCGGCTAAAAATTTAAAATCCTGTTAATTAAATAATTTAACAATTAAAATAAGTTTTAAATAAAAAGGTCTTAGCCTGGCGCCGAAAAACAAATAACGACAGCGCCAGCAGGTTAACTGCTTTGAGAATCATAGGGCCTGGGTATGATACTCAGACCACTGATTTCAGAGTAATCACATAACATATAGTAGAACTACTCCAAAACCAATGGTTTGTTAAATTGATCTTAGGTTACAACCATAGCAGCACAACCCAATACATACCTACTCAGATGTACGCCTCACTGAGTTTAATGGTGCTTACTCCTACGTAAGTGCACTTAGTATTGTAGCAATAATGTGCATCATTGTAAGTGGTATAGGATTGGGACCTCAGTCGTATTTGGAATGATTGCATTTTGATGTATTTCTGGAGTTGATTTTTTTGATGCCATATAAAATAATGACTTGGAAGTCGACAAGGGGCAGGGGTGATGGTCGAATAAATCATAGGCCACCCTAACACTTGCCGGAGCACATGACAGAGGTTTATCAAATGATGCGTGGTGTGAAGGGCATGGGTAGAGTTTTCTCTCTGTAGGACAATCCTGTATTTCGGGGGGGGGGGCGGTTCAGTGAAATGGACTGCATTTTGGAGAAGCTCTTGGTGGAGCATTCCAGTGGTGGGTGGGCCAAAGACCGAAGGGCAAGGCCAAGAGAGCTGCATTTCCGATCTTGCCGATTCAGTCATTGATGCTACCGTTGTGTTGTTTCTGCAGGTAAAGATGAACCCAGCAGCTACACGTGTACAACATGTAAACAGCCATTCAACAGCGCCTGGTTTCTCTTGCAACACGCACAGAACACGCATGGATTGAGGATCTACTTAGAAAGTGAGCATGGAAGTCCCCTGACACCACGGGTGGGGATCCCATCAGGACTAGGTGCAGAATGCCCTTCTCAGCCGCCACTCCATGGGATTCACATTGCAGACAATAATCCTTTCAATCTCCTCAGAATACCTGGGTCAGTCGCAAGAGAAGCTTCAGGGCTCGGAGAAGGGCGTTTTCCTCCCACGCCACCTTTGTTTAGTCCCCCTCCAAGGCATCACTTGGATCCGCATCGCATAGAACGCCTGGGTGCCGAAGAAATGGCTCTTGCCACCCATCACCCCAGTGCCTTCGACAGGGTGCTGCGCCTCAACCCCATGGCCATGGAGCCCCCAGCGATGGATTTCTCCAGGCGGCTTAGGGAGTTAGCTGGAAACACCTCTAGTCCGCCATTGTCACCGAACCGGCCCAGTCCTATGCAAAGGTTACTGCAACCATTCCAGCCAGGCAGCAAGCCGCCTTTTCTGGCCACGCCTCCTCTTCCTCCTCTGCAGTCTGCCCCTCCCCCTTCCCAGCCTCCTGTCAAATCCAAGTCCTGTGAATTTTGTGGGAAAACCTTCAAGTTTCAGAGTAACTTAGTCGTCCACCGTCGGAGCCACACTGGAGAAAAACCATACAAGTGCAACCTCTGTGACCACGCATGCACGCAAGCAAGCAAGCTGAAGCGCCACATGAAAACCCACATGCACAAGTCCTCGCCCATGACCGTGAAGTCGGATGACGGCCTCTCCACAGCCAGTTCGCCAGAGCCTGGGACCAGCGATCTTGTCGGCAGCGCCAGCAGCGCCCTCAAATCCGTCGTGGCCAAGTTCAAAAGTGAGAACGACTCGAATATGATTCCGGAAAATGGGGACGAAGAGGAGGAGGAGGAGGAAGAAGAGGAGGAGGAGGAGGAGGAGGAAGAGGAGGAGGATTTGACGGAAAACGAACGACCGGACTATGGGTTTGGTATTAATCTCGAAGCAGCTCGCCACCACGAAAACAACTCCCGTTCCATCGAGGAGAGTCGCTCTATGCCGGATGTCATGCAGGGCATGGTCCTGAGTTCCATGCAGCACTTCAGCGAAGCCTTCCATCAGGTCCTGGGAGAGAAACATAAACGGGGGCATTTGTCCGAATCGGAGGTGCACAGAGACACTTGCGATGAAGACTCAGTAGCTGGTGAATCCGATCGCATCGATGACGGCGCCATTAACGGCCGGGGGTGTTCCCCTGGTGAATCTGCCTCCGGAGGGTTGTCCAAAAAGCTACTCTTGGGTAGCCCTAGCTCCCTAAGCCCTTTCTCCAAACGCATCAAACTTGAGAAGGAGTTCGACCTCCCCGCGACAGCTATGCCTAACACTGAAAATGTTTACTCCCAGTGGCTAGCTGGGTACGCTGCCTCTCGGCAGCTGAAAGATCCATTCCTCAACTTTGGAGACTCCCGACAATCGCCTTTCGCTTCCTCCTCGGAACACTCCTCCGAAAACGGGAGTTTACGCTTCTCGACGCCTCCCGGGGAGATGGATGGAGGGATATCAGGCCGCAGCGGTACAGGAAGTGGAGGAAGCACCCCGCATATTAGTGGTCCGGGCCCTGGGAGGCCTAGCTCAAAAGAGGGCAGACGCAGCGACACTTGTGAGTACTGTGGGAAAGTCTTCAAGAACTGTAGTAACCTCACTGTCCACAGGAGAAGCCACACTGGGGAAAGGCCTTATAAATGCGAGCTGTGTAACTACGCCTGTGCCCAGAGTAGCAAACTCACCAGGCACATGAAAACCCATGGTCAGGTGGGGAAGGACGTTTACAAATGCGAGATTTGTAAGATGCCTTTTAGCGTGTACAGTACCCTGGAAAAACACATGAAAAAATGGCACAGTGACCGAGTCTTGAATAATGACATAAAAACTGAATAGAGGTATCTTGACATGGTCCCCTGCTCTTCCTCCCTTTCCCCGACCTAAACCCACCTCCCCACTTAGAGATTTTCTAGTCCCTTGTGAGTAAAATAACGGAAGCTAAGGAAGATATTAAGAAAGTGCTTGTCACCAGCACACCTGTTTTCATTTCCCTTTTTATTTTATTTTTATCCCTTTCTTTTCTGTTTTCACCATTTGAATGCATGATCTGTATTGGGGCAATACTACGCAAACTTTGAGCCTTTCTCTTGTGCAATAATTTACATGTCGTGTATGTTTATTAATTTTTTTAAGAAAATTAGACAGCATGTATGGTATGTTATGGCTGTTTTTTAGAAAATTGTCCCCTGATTCATTGCTGAGCAAACAAACGGAAAGATCACACATGCACGCATGCACGCACGCACACAAACGCACACACAAACACACACACACACAACCCCCACATGCAGCATTATGCTGTTTCCAGTTCTGTTCCAGAAAAGAGAGAGAGAGAGAGAAAAGAAAAACAACACAACAAAAAAATATTTTTTTTAACAGAACCAACTATGCTGCATACATTCTGTATACTTATCATGTACAATTTTGTTTTGAAACATAGAGAGGAAAATGTACCTAGAATTAACCCTCTATGGACAGACGGATAACACTGGAAAAGAAAAAAATCCATTGTGTTACCTTGATTTCTGTCTTTAAAAGGACTGAACGTATCACTTGTTTTGGGGGGGTTGGGGGGAGGAAAAATAGGCCTTTAATTGAAAAATAAGGACATAAGTGGAAAGGTGAATTTGTACTATCATTTGGTTTAAAATAGAAATCCGAGTGCCTTGAATCTATTTAAGCCATGTTGGTGGCAACGCTACTTGTTCTAAACTTGTAGTTTGATGTTCGCACTGGGCAGTGTAAATGAGCCCTTTAGGATCTAGCCCATAACTCTATATTGTACTTCTCACAACAGTGGCTACCTAGATGCAAAAAAAGAGAAAAAAGGAGAGAGAGAGAGATAAAAATAAAAAAATAAAAATTAACGAAGAAAACCCAACCAGTCCTGGTGAATAAATAAGCCTTCGATGCCGGCCCCCTCCCTCTGTTTAGACCAACCACCATCACCCTTCCCACAACTGATCTATCTTTCAACGTCATTCTGCTCCGGAAGAGAGTGGAAAACAGTCGCCACGATCGGAGCGGATGCTTCCCTGCCATCCCATTGCTAGTACCCGGCCTCCACCAACTCCTGACCCACTCAGTTTAAAATGAAGATTATTATTTTGCTGATTAAGAAAAAGAAGAAGAATGTGAAATTGTGAAAGGCCTTGGAAAACGATTAAATACACTAGGAAGAAAATTCATGTCCTGGAGATTTCACAAGCATTTTTTAGCGATTCTGGCGCACAAACGAAAATAAAGGCTAAAAAGACAAGAAATGAAAATAGTTAAGTCCAGGTGCAGTTGGTTGTCATTGTGACAATCAGCTTAGAAATGTGCAACCTTGTACATCCGGATCTGCTTATCTCTCTATATTGGGAAAGATGTATAAACAATCCGGCAATAATAGAAACATGTCCCCCCAAAAAAGCAAAAGAAAAAACCAACCGACTGTAGCGATTGGTTAAAACAACGTGGTACTGTTTGCCATTTTAAATGAAAAACAGAGTATAAGCTAATATTAATATGATTATTACCTATGAGCTATTCAGATTTGCCTTCAAGTGTGACATTCTGGAAAAAAGAAGAGAGAGGAAAATAATTTAAAAAGAGTCACAGCTTATGCTTGTGCTCCCTAAAAGTTGCTCTTCGTTTGTTTCTTTTAATCATATGCTATGTGCTAGTTGACATGGAAAAAGGATTCATTGTTTTTATGATTAAGCTAGCATCTGACTCCGCCTGTCGTGTCAGTATCTTTTCCTTTAATCAGAGGTACACAGGTTGAGTATAAAAAACTTTTAAGACTGCTCAGATAGGACAATTTAAATGCACTGTACAATTTTCCCAGTTTACAGGTCTATACTTTTAAGGGAAAAATTGCAAGATTAATGAAAACTTTTGTTTAAAAAATTTGAGCATGATCTCACGATGAGCATAGAAAAAACTCTGCCAGCTTGCTCTTTGACTTGACTAATGACTGGGACGCAACATTATGGCGCTGTGAAGGGGATCAGGCCCTGCAGTTATATTAAAAATAATGAATGATGCTCTTGCTGCAACAGTGCAAGGATGTTTTCTTCTTTTTTTGTACAAAACTTTTAAAAATATAAATGTTAAGATTTTTTTTTAAACACGTCATTATGTTTAGGGGAGAAAAGTGTATCTTAGGATTCATTGTCCTGGTGGTGTGCAAGACCTGTTCTTCATTGAAAACCAGTAGTTGAAAACTCTTTGCCTTGGTTATATCACAACTCTTCAGGTTGTAAAATAAATGCATTGGGGAAAGGTTTAAGAATATATAGTACTGAAATATAGGAAAATGCACACTCCTGTTGGTTCCTATGCTAAGAAAAAGAAAAAACAAGCAGACAAAAAAGAAGAAAAACACATTTATGGTCTCTTTTTTCTGTAATTTCTAGAATGGTATTTGAATTTAATGTTCACCTAGAGTAGGGCACTATAGTATTTATAATGAAGCTTGTATTTTTAACTGTTGCTTGTTTCTCTTTAAAAAAAAGGTATCAAAGTACCTTTTTTGGTAGTGGAAAAACACACACAGACACATAGACAGACAGACAGACACACAAACAGGCTGCCACAGTATATTTTTTTTAATTTGGCAGGATAATCTAGTGCAAAATATTTGTATGTTTCAAAAAAAAGATGACAAGAAAAGTGTGACATTGTACTGATAAAGAGGCCATATAATGGGCTGTTTTTGGGGTGGGTGGGTGAATAAAAACAGATCTGTTTGAATGTCACACTAAATGAGCGTCGCAGATGGTTGTACATATCAAAGTTCTTTTGGGGGTTTCTTTGTTTTCTGCTGCCATATTGTATGCAGTAATGCAAGGTGGTGATGTTGGTTTGTTCTGTAGTGTGCTCTTTGGTCCCTTTTCTTCTTCTCTTACCCCTTTACATTCCAGCATCTTAAACTTCATATGCAGTAAAAGAAAAAGGAAAAAAAAGAACGAAAGGAGAAAAACAAGTTTGCAGGTTTTTTTTCCATTGCCAAAAAGAAAAAAAAAATAAAATGGTGCTTTATATATTTAGATCGGAAAGGATTTCGTATGCAAAGCATATTAAAAAGAGAGAGCCCCGCTGGAGACGATACCTTTTTTGTATATGGCAATGCAAAATATTTTGTTATTATCGGCCTTTTCTATTCCTGTAATGAAAGCTGTTTGTCGTAACTTGAAATTTTATCTTTTACTATGGAATTCACTATTTATTATTCCTTCACACTCTGTTCAGAACAGAGGCGTCGGATCTGATCTTTGTTTTTTTGTTTTTATTTTTTTTTAATTATTTAGATGACCAAAGGTCATTGGCAACCTGGCTTTTTATTGTATTTTTTTCTAGTCTTTGTTAAGTTCTATTGGGAAAACCACTGTCTGTGTTTTTTTGGGGTCTTTTTTTAATTGGGCAGTTGTCTGCATTACCCTGTTCATTCACCCATTTTGTCCCTTAATTGAAAAAATAAAAATAAAAAAAATATTGCTTAAAGTACATACCATAAGCTTTGCGTGTCCTCATTTGACACACTCTGTAAATTTCCCTCTTCCAGAGAAACAGCTTTTAAGAGAAGGCCAGTGTGTTTTCTTCTTGGGGGCATTTTGATGTATGTATTAGTATCCTAAAGGGGCAGATAGTTTCCTATTTATATCACAATAAAATGTTTTGCCCCTGGGGAAAAAGCGTCTTTGGTCTTACATTGAGAACAAGGATTTTTTTTTAAGGAGGGAATCTTTCTTTTCCATCTGGATGTATTGCCCCCACCCACTAACTTGCCTGTCGCTCGGTTCCCTTTTTTCTGAGGAATGCATTTAGCTAAAAACTAAAAAGGGGACGGATTGGTGACAGCATCAAAGTCATTCATCTGTTTGTGAAAGGGACTTTCACCCACCTCTCCCCTTCCCCTTCCTGTTTTGCACCATTGCGTACAATCACAAACAAGCTCAGATGTGAACAATATGCAATCCACTCTCCGTGTGGCAACAGCCCACCCCCTCGCCATTCCTTGCCAACCTTAAAAAAAAACGAAACAAAACCCGTACACGATAAGTGAATTGGAAATGCCGGATCCCTGCTATGCCACATGCTGTTGTAGCAAAAGCGGAACCCGCTGATGGATGCGCCTGTGTGCATGTTGAAGCACATACTGGTGCATACATCGCGCATCCCCAAGATCAGGCCCAGCCACTTGGGAAACCTCTTTGACGCATTTTGTCCGGGACGGGACAGGAGCTGCTGCTCTTTTTTATATATTCTGTACAATGGATAGGTTTTATCAAAACGTTGTGTATACATTGTCTTTAAATATCTGGACTCTGGTTCTGATTACATATATATAAAATATATATATATTTTTCCTCCTGAGAGGTCCTGTATATGTTGTCAAGTTTTGCGAATACTGCATGTTGCAGCATCTCTTTGCTTTATTAAAAACACATACCTCTGTGACACCGTCTCTTGCTCTTCCTAGTGTAACAACACTGCATATTTCTCACTTTTTGGATCTGCGAGAATTGAGAACCTTGTGTTGATTCAGTGGCATTTTTATGGCCGTATTCTGACCAGTGCTTTCTTAAGAGCTATTGCTCATTTTAAGTAACTAACAGCACCAGCTAGCTGGGTGCCCACATCCCTAAGTTGATCACAGCCCAGCTTTGGAGAGTGGAAGCAACGTGGAGGTTGCAGTCTGAAGCTTTCCCCAGAGAACACGAGGCGAGCAGGTTGCCAGCAGCTGGCTTCTCCTTGCCTCCCCTCCAAAAACGCCGTCTCCACGGTTGTTCTTGCAACCTTGGAGCCGCAGCCGACACACTGTGAGGGCCGTAAGCAAGGTGTTCCGAGTTCAGAATCCCAGCTTGGACTTGAGAGCAAGTTTCCAAGTTTGAGAGCTGAGTCTCTGAAATCTCAGATGGCCATGGAAGACTCTGTCGAGCAGACATTGGCTTGTGCCCTGAAGATGCAATCCTATGAATGCTTGGAAAGGGCGACTGGGGGCATCTTCTAGCAGGCTGCAGCCACCCGTGCTAGGAGTCGTAGGATGGTTTCCTGGCCAGATAGGCGCAGGATTGCTCCCTAAGGACATGCTCTTACCCACCACTTGCCATCATGGGGGCCTTTTCATGGGCATCTTTAACCTTGGCTATGAACCTGTATGCAAATAACCCTTGTAATCCAAACCAGGATGTGAAACTTTGATTTGCAGCCGCATGTCCTTGGATCCAAAACATCCTAGACTTTTGATGTGCACACAGAACTTGCATTGTGCAGGTGTGGGCAGAGCTGGGGGGGGGGCATTTCCATGGTTAGAGGGGAGTTCCCTCTGCCACGGAAGAAAATGAACTCTGGATGGAATGCAGTGACGCCTTTCCACTGATGGCGGATTCCCACCTCCCCTTCTGCACAGCCTCAAAGAGTGCTCCAGAGTCTTGGGGCAAAGCCTTCCCAAGCCTACTTTAGGTCAGGAGTAGGGTTGGCCGGAAGCAGGAGAGGAGAAGGTCCCATCACTGGTTATGCCAAGTTGAGAGTTGCCCTGTATCATTAGTAGCAATGCCTCATGTTTCTTAGCTCATATTTAATTTCACATGCATCATCCCAGCAACCCCTTCGCCAGGCACTCCCTTCCCGTATTCCTTGTACCTGACTGCAGACGGCAGAGTTGAGGAGCACGTTTGCCAGATTGCCAGCTGCGTGAGAGGTTTGACCCGAGGACTTCTCTGGTCATCGCTGTGCCACTGTGCTGCACAAGCCCCAGAGCCCCAGGGGTGCGCAGGAACCCTCGTCCGTGGATAATCATGTGCCATCTGCATGGCACAAGCACCATGTGAGTCCCGGAAGATGGGCGTAATCTTGAGTAGTTACACTATCCTGGAAGATGTGGGGTTGGCTTATGGCTTGATGCTTCCTCCACACTCTGCCTCCGGGCTAAGCACCATGCACCAATTTGGCTCGCAGAGTGAGTCCCGTAGACGTAGGCGACCACCTGTGGCACCGTTCGTATGAACCTGGCCTTCCACTGAGTTGGACCATAAGTCCTTTAAGACCAGCCTTCTGCAATCTGGTTCCCTCCAGATGTGGCTCAGAATTATGGGAGCTGCAGTCCAGCGCATCTGGAGGACATCAGGTGGCAGAAAGCTGGTCTGGATCAAGATTATCTACCTGTGTAGTCAACAGCTCTCTCAAGACAAAGGATTTTCCCCACCTTTGCCATGAGATACACTTCAGCTGGAAATTTCTGGGCTGAATCTTAGACTTTGGGCATACAAAGCTGAAGCACTGTATTAACTCCCATACAGATGCAGTTGAGAGTGGAATCATCTGTGGACAAGGACATTGGTCAACCCATTCTGATTCATAGTTCCCATATGTACAAACCCAAACATCTTATCCCTATGGAGCGGAATATCCCTGACCATTTCTACACTGCATATTCATCTTGGTTTACAGTCTGGGATAGGTTGTAATGTGATGGTAATACTAAGAATACTTCTGCATGGATGCCTCACACACATTTTCCATTTCCTGGAAGCGGATTGACGGCTAAAGCACATGCTACCACCCCTTTCCCTCTCAAACCACCCTTTAATTCCCAGCGTCATACCAATCCACCTTTATGACGGTGTTCTTGAACTTGACCTTGAATTCTGTCTGTGTTTTTTTCAGTGTAAATTTGTTTTTCCTCCCCAAAAAGAGAAAAGAAGCCCAGGAGGAATATGGCATTAGACTATCGAATCCATGTAGAATGATCCACATGAGCAATTTTCATAGTTCTTTATTACAAAATCAATATTCCATTGTGTTGATAAAGTTTTCCCCCTATTCACCTCGCTGATGGGCATTGCTCTGTGGAAGAAAAATGTTGGATCAAAACTGAGCTTTTGTGGGACCTCGGCCATTTGTCCTTATATAAGCTGATACACCGGCTACCTCCTATCTTACCTGCTGACAAGATTCCAGGGTCCACCATCCCGTGCTGCCTGCATGCCAGAGGAACCCACCACTAGTGCACCCAGAAGCTAGTGCCTTCTAAAGCAACTGGGTGAGCTGGAATGGACCTGGCCAGAGGAGCACTTGGAACTAACTGAGCATTTCAGCTGGTTTCCGGGGTTCCTCTGGAAAGTGTTGCTACCTCACCTTTCTTGTACTGGATTAAAAGTGCCTGCATGGGGTTCCCAGGGGGTGTCCACTCCAAGAACTGACCAGACCTGAACCTGCTTAGCTTCATCAGGGTGACTGTCTCAGGTGCCTTCAGGCAATGGTCTTCCCATTGTTCCAGCACTGCAGCTTAATCTGTTATGGCTCAAGGGGCCGCCCTGTATCCTGGCCACTAACTACCAGTCTCTTACTTCTTAGCTCTCTGCTGTCCATTCTCTCTTTTAATGCCCTTGGCTTCCATGTGATTTTCTGTCTTCTTCAAACCCCTGATCATCTTCATTTCCCCTTGCAGGCCTGAATTTTGTGTGTCCTTTCCTGAGTCATTGTACATCCCATTCTTTCCCTTAGCTCCTTTGTGCAAAATCATGTTCAAAGCTACCGTGAACCAATATATAAATAAATTAATGGTGAATCATAATAAACTGAAAAAAATAAAAGCTAAAATAAACTTGCTAGACCTATTTATTCCTGCTAATACCACATCTCCATCCATCTCATTTCAAAGTCCTCAAGCAACAGCTGGTCAAGATGTTGATGCTCACCAGACCGCTTTGTTTGAATGTAGAATAACTCCATCGATGAATCGGGGCCAGCACGGTCAGACAGTGTCAGTTTTCCTCACCTGCAGACACCACTGATGTGAGCTGAGGACAAAGCTGCTCATGGCATGGCTTCGGCTATGGGTGGTATAGAAATATAATAATAATAATAAATATTATTATTAATAATAATAATAATGGCTAGGTCCCAATTCACATGGTGGACTGTGCCAAGCAAGGCAGGGGGAGCTTACTGTGAGAAGGCCACTCCCTGTGGCAAGAGCATAGTCCAGCCTGGCTCTGAGTGACGGATTCGTTGTCCATTAACTCTCCTTGACCCTACCAAGTTTTCAGAGACACTACTCCCAATACTTCTCTCGGTCCTCTTTGTACTTGTTTGACCTGCAGTTAATCAAACACAGCACATTCCTCTGCCCTTAACTGCTTTTCCTCACAGAACATCTGCCATGCTGTCCTCCTTGGCTTTCCTAGACCTCCAGCTTCTCTTTCATGGTTCTTTTCTTTAACCAAAAGGGGAAAAAAGGCCCTTCCTACCTCCTATGAGATCCAGGTCCTAGGTCTTGCTCTTAGGTCTGCATCCTGTTTTCTTCAGCATCTCCCTCTCCTTTCCTTCATTACTTCCAGACCACTGTGTCTATCTTGCCTTCTTGTCCTCTTCAGCTTTTCTAATGATGACTCTTCCCATTTTCTGCTACCTTTGCTGGGCTTATCTCCATTATATCCCCTGCCTCCCTCACTGTCATGTCTGTCCTTTCCCACTGACACCACAATTGTGCGGCGGAAAAACAAGGCAAGTGAGTGAGAGAGAGCATAGGGGTTGGAGAATTGAGCCTTGGATCAGCTCCTACTTCTTGGAGTTCCTTGTTCCATGGATCTTTATCTGTGAATGTCATTATGGCCATGTCTACAGGGACTTGCGAAGGCCCCGAGCGGCTGCTCAGACATCATCACAAGATCCTGAAGCACATGGTCATCGCGCTTTCTCCCCGTGTGTACAGTCCACACAGTAATGCAACCGTAAGACCTGAACTTTCTACATTAGACTGATGTGTGGGGAGAGATGGAGGGGAAAAAGACGGGGAGTAGCCAGAAGAAGGGGTGGACATCAATTTCCTCACCAGAAATGAGGGCTTGCATTTGTCTCCCTTTGGTGGCCGGGTTTTCTGCAGGCATAGATGCCTCAAGGAGACTAGGAAAGGGTGTGGTGCATTTACTGGAAGCATTTGTTTATCAAAGATGCTACTACGCAAGTACCTATGTGTAATTCCTATATTCTTTCAGGATTTTATATGGTTTGAGAACCAACTGATGGGGCCACTAAACAAAAACACTCTCTGATCATTTCACTGACGTCCAACTTGAGCTTTGCAAATCAGCTTTAGGATTTTTATAAATCGTAAATGTGTTTTTATAGACCTCTTCCTCACACATTTCAATGTTTATTATTTATTTTATGACACACTGAGATCTGGAAGGCGGGAGAAGGACAGCAAAAAACTTAATTGTGTTGTAATTTAAAAATGCTTGCCACCTGGTCTTTTGGAGGCTATACTTATCTCACCACAGGAGAGCTTGGGTGAGTGGTTACTTGAAAGTTTCCTTGATTCTTTCTAATAGTCAAAAATTTTCCCATGTACAGCTAAGTTGAAGAAACATTCAGATTGCACTTCTAAACTGTGGCTGTTATTGCTGGGAATTAAAATAAGATTATTTTAAAATTGTTACACAGAAGTGACAACA